AAAACGGAATGAAAACGCAAAATATGTCAACTGAAACGCTGACACTCCTGTACGTGTGCTGTATACAAGTTAATAGTGAGGTCGGGACACCACGATAGTTGACCAGGTAAATTGTTCTGTTTTAAGAAAATGCAAGGGTAATTATCTTGAAAAAGGGAGTAATTTTTTAAATGTCTGTTTGGAACTTCAGTAAAACTGCCCTTCTCCTCGGTATCTCTAAGTAAATCTGTGTCATCACGTGCTTGCCTCTCTTTGAAGTTCTGTTGTTAAGAGATGTCACTTGATCTTGAAACGCTTTTCCACTCAAATTATCGATATTTGTCACATCACGTAAATATATATATATATATATAGAAACTTAAACACTCTCTTTGTGTTTCTTCCTTTGAACCACGCCTAATGATACATGTATCTCAGGTTGTGAACACTGAGCTAGCCGGAGCGTTACTATCATCGCAATCGGGGGCCATAAGGACATGTACCCGTGTGTTTTAAATTGCACTGAGTTTCTTTTCACTGTATTTCTCCCATTTAATTACAGAATTCTTTGACATTTGGCTGTGTAGAAATGCTCAAAAGTATACAAAAGATCCAATTCCGGCGCAATAAATCATCTGGTGAAATTCCAAATTTTATTATATAACTGTCATTTTTCCCACACGCTGATTGGTCAAAACACCTCTTATAGGTCTAAATATATTGCGATGTTACCCCGAAACCTACAGAATCCGTGCACGCCAGGTGAGTATAACAGTCCAAAACCCCGTCGGGCGCCTCACAGGTGAATATTACAATCCAGTAACATGTGCTGCAATTTTTGACCAATCAGAAGCACGGATTGTCGTTGCCTCACTGGAGAGAAAATGGCAGACGACAGTGTAAACAAACCCGGCTTGTCAAGATTTGGAACTGTTTCCGATGACCAATTTAAAATTATCTTGGTGCAAAAGGATACTAGAAACACTGTTAAAGCTACCGACACGTCCGTTTGTGTTTTGCGTGAATATTTGAAAGAAAAAGCAATAGACACGGACTTTGTTGACATGCAGGCGCTCGAACTCTGCAATGTTCTTCGGAAGTTTTATGTGGAAATGAGTAGGAAAGACGGTGAGAAATATCAACGTAGTTCTCTCTTTAGTATCCGTTATGGTATCAACCGATACCTTTCGATTGTCGGTTGTAACCTGGATATAGTGCATGGCACTGAATTTACAGAATGTAACAAAGTGATACTGTAGTTTTACCCTTGAAAGTTTACTTTCAATGCATATACATTTTGGTAAATTAAAAAATACGAAATTTGTTTGATTGAGTTTTCTCCCTTTTACTCACATTACGCAGTATACTGTTTTTGATCTTATTAACAGCTCATATAAGGTCATTTTGATTGCACAGAGATACATATTCTGTGTAGGCAGAATTTCATTGCAGGTGCCATAATCATGGCAAAATATGCTAAGTATGGATTGGTGCTACACATGGTTAAGTTTATAAAAATATCATATAATAAAACAGTTATTGACCTGTTTTTAGGTAAATACGAGGATTTACCTCTCGAAGGAGATATTTCCCTCGGCCTCCGGCCTCGAGAAATATCACCTCATCGGGGAATAAATCCTCGTATTCACCTGAAAATAGGTCAATAATTGTATAATATAGTTTCATTCCTGTTAGTTTAAGCACAAAGCAAAAATATTGATACAAATAGTTTTTTTACATGTCGTTTATATTTCTTATATAAAAATGGCCGACATTTAATGTCTTGCTAAAGTGGCTATTTCCAAAATTTGAAAGCTGGGTTATCAAATTGTAAAATTTGGTGTTTTTGTCCGAAATGTCCACATTCTTTCTCAAATCTGTTCGAAATCTTCCGTGATTGACACGAATGGTTAGATAGAAGAAAGGCATTGTCAAGTACAGAAAGAGGAACATCCGCAGGTTTTGTTAGTTTTGTCAGCAGGTTTGTTTGGAGTGGGATTTCAGTAATCATTATTTCATAGCGACGCTGAAATATTGACACATTTACAATCATATTGAAATAAATATGTAGTTTCCAGGTGACTTCTTGAATATGAAATATTCCTGAGGAGGTTCCCAATGACAGAGTCATTTCGCGCCCAGCAATTCTCATATGTACGAAACAATTATGTTCAGTGTAATGTAATTAGCAGTCGGCATCGCGGGAGTAAGTTCAAATAAACCTATCGTGTGATAAGTAATCTCCTTCGTCATTCAATCGGTAAATTTCATCTTTTGTTGAATATACGCGGTACGCCGAAAATGCCCTTACATGCACTAAAGAATAGTCTCAGCAGTGTGAACAAAGACACTTGTTATTGTTTTAGTATCGGTGGCTGAAGGGGTGGATCCTCCTAAAGTAAAGTCTATTAGGTTTATACTATCGCATACTCGAACGCAATGTCGCGGAGCTGCCTTTACGCTGTTTCGCAGGTAAATCGACCAAATTTTCAGACAGAAAACATCAATAAAAAACACTGCTTTTTGTACCCCCACCCCCTTTACCGGACCCGCTCCTAAATGAATCTGCTCCGAACAAGGGCTAGTAACACCCCTAACCCTGCCCTTGATCCGGCATAAACACTTGCATGGGTATCATGTATACATGCAATATAATGCTTATAGAGATTAACAGTTTCCAGAGAGCATTAGGATAGTGTATAAACAGGTATTATTATTCCTCACCTCTATAATAATTATAATGATAATTGATAATTCGAGGTTCTTATATACATCTTTATAACAACCTTGTTCGTAGGTCGTCTCAACGTGGTTCACAAAATATTATCCGTGGTTAAAGGGCCTTTACAACCAGCCAATATGTTTCTCAACTCCCTGTGGAACATACAGCCGGTGCTGCCATTTCGGCGCTCACAGCTAGGGTTATTCTACAATTCTGGCATTGCTCAACAACGTACTCATTTACAGCTGAGTAGACTGGAACAATCGGAGTAAAGTTTCTTGCTCAAAGATACAACACAGTGCCGTGCCGTGACTCGAACCCGCAACCCTTCGGTCACGAGCCCGGCGTCCTACCACTAGAGTACCGTAACAAGGTGTCGGGATAATAAAACATTATGTCGCCCTCAAGCACCCAAATATCCCCGATCATCTTTACCTTATTTAGAACTTATACAAACAAATGGACAAGAACCATTACAAACGAGTTCCGAATGACTGAAGCAATAAGAATCAATGACGCGTCAACCTGGCCACCTATACCATGGGGTAATTGTTTTATTTCGGCATAATAATTTGTTTATTGTGTAATAGGACGAGGAATAGTGAGAAATATAGTGCCGTCGCTGCCAGCCCGATACTCTACCGCTGACCTAAAGGGAAATTCCCTACAGCTGACGCTTGTAAGGCAACCTAATCAATGCACATCTTTTATATTATCTCCCTTCTTTTCAAACACCATCCCAGGTTCTTTGACTCCCCACTAAGGGTTCTCCTACCTTGAACGGGGAGGGCCAATGGCACTATTTTGTAGTAGGATGAGAAATAGTAATGGAGAAAGTGCCGTCGCTGGGGGCTCGAACCCACGACCCTTGGCTCTCTAGTCCGATGCTCTACCGCTGAGCTAAAGGGAAATTCCCTACAGATGACGTTTGTCAGGCAACCTGTCCTTATTGTAGGGATCACAACTATTTGTTTCTCTTCGATTAATCATGCTTAATTCGGGCTTCGCCTTTGTGAAACATGATTTATATCGGAGAAACAAAGAATTACGTTTCCCTACCACAATGACAATAAACATATAATGCCACACCTATGTTTTGGTTGCACGAAAGTATCTTGCACCTACGTATTTTACGCTTCCGTGTGGTGTGGTCATGGACTTAAGACTGGTGAATATATTAGATGTTGAAGTAGCTAAGTCACAGACGTCAGACACACAGTTTATCCTCCCCCTAACCCATTCCCNTCCCCCACCCCCACCACCACCACCACAACGTTTTAAACTTATTATTCCTAACTATATTGTTTATATAAATAATTGTGAAAGTAATCATCCGGTATTGCCGTAGGGGACAGGAGACGACCATTTTGATTGGTATACTTGTAAGTCGTTCTGCCTGAATGTCATATTAAGCCGAGTAGTGAAGGGATATACACGTACTACTGTGTTTTGGTTCATCCTCGCTGTTCATTGTTCATTGTACAGCGGACCACGACTTAGCTCAGAACAGGTAACGTAGTCATTTGTGTAAAATGTTTTCATTTCAATGACAGGTGAGATCTTAAGGTGTCACATTTTGTAATAGTATTGAACTTCGCATGAGTACATATTTAAAACATTGCTCATCAACAGGTCTCTAGTCCCAATTAGGCTTTGTTAATGAAGTCCGATGTGAAAAAGACGAACTACTTCCAGGAACAATGGTGATAAAGGTAGCTTTGTCTACTGGTAAATTATATAGATAACCTTGTCTACTGGTAAATTGTATAAATAACCTTGTCTACTGATAAATTATATAGGTAACCTTGTCTACTGGTAAATTATATAGGTAACTTTGTCTACTGGTAAATTATATTAATAACCTTGTCTACTGGTGAAGTATATAGATAACCTTGTCTACTGGTAGTTTATATAGATAACCTTGTCTACTGGTAAATTATATAGATAACCTTGTCTACTGATAAATTTATAGATAACCTTGTCTACTGGTAAATTATATAGGTAACTTTGTCTACTGGTAAATTATATAGATAACCTTGTCTACTGGTAAATTATATAGATAACATTTTCTACTGGTAAATTATATAGGTAACCTTGTCTACTGGTAAATTATATAGGTAACCTCCATAAAGAGTAGATGATATAGGTAACCTTGTCTACTGGTAAATTATATAGGTAACCTCCATAAAGAGTAGATGATATAGGTAACCTTGTCTACTGGTAAATTATATAGATAACATTTTCTACTGGCAAATTATATAGGTAACCTTGTCTACTGGTAAATTATATAGGTAACCTCCATAAAGAGTAGATGATATAGGTAACCTTGTCTACTGGTAAATTATATAGGTAACCTCCATAAAGAGTAGATGATATAGATAACCTTGTCTACTGGTAAATTATATAGATAACATTTTCTACTGGCAAATTATATAGGTAACCTTGTCTACTGGTAAATTATATAGGTAACCTTGTCTACGGGTGAATTATATAGATAACCTTGTCTATAGCTGGTAAATTATATAGATAACCTTTTCTACTGGTAAATTATATAGATAACCTTGTCTACTGGTAAATTGTATTTTTTGTCCTTTATCTCCCTAGCTACAGTTGCCAACTCTCAGATACAGTTGTAGCCAACTCTCGCGAGAATACACAAAGCGATAATGAAATTTCTGCTTCATATTTTATAGTTATATAATAGTGGCTCGCTTTCTCAGTAGGAACCAAATTAAGAACCATAATATTACAGCACATGGCGATTTTTTTCCCGCGACGGAGATGGTGAATGACGTGTTGAATGTAAAGTAAATTGATATTACTTCTTTGTTGTTTTGGTTGTTTATACATGGATAAATGTGTATGACCTTTTATAAATTGTTCCAGTGCCTAGCCAATAAAACCCTTGTATACTGTGATAGGGGCCACGGTTTTAAGGTGAAAACCTGTGGTTCCTAATATAACCCTTGTATACTGTGATAGGGGCCACGGTTTTAAGGTGAAAAACCTGTGGTTCCCAATATAACCCTTGTATACTGTGATAGGAGCCATGGTTCTAAGGTGAAAAAACATGTGGTTCCTTATAAAGCCCTTGTATACTGTGAAATGAGCCATGGTTCTAAGGTGAAAAAGCACGTGGTTCCTAATATAACCCTTGTATACTGTGATAGGAGCCATGGTTCTAAACTGAAAAACCCGTGATTCCTATATACAACCCATGTTCCCTGTTGTAGGGACCATGGGTCAAAGGTAAATCCCCCTAGTTTAAACATATTCATGCTGGATTTATTTTGTTTTGCAACAAGAAGGCACTCTTGTGTGGAATTCAATGTGTATCAGTGATCATAAACATCAGCTAAAATGTTTCATCTCCATCTCCTCTTTTTGTTTATACAATTTTTAATATGGAAAACATAATTATGATAATACAAGGATGATACTAATGAAAGTGTGCATCAGTTGTTTAAATATAAATATTGAAATTAAATAACTCAAACTTGATACCTACTCATCATATATGACACTTGCACCAGATACATACCAAATCCATATCTCTGGCACCAGGGAAATAGACAACACAACTCTAGCATCAGGGAAATAGACAACACAGCTCTAGCACCAGACTTATAGACATAACAACTCTAGCATCAGACATATGCACATCGCAACTCCAGCATCAGACATACAGAACTCACAACTCTAGCACCAGGCATATCATCATAATAACTCTAGCACCAGACATATAGACATCACAACTTTACCACCAGACAGATACACATTACAACTCTAGCACCAGACACATATAGACATAACAACTCTAGCACCAGACAAATGCACATCCTAACTCTAGCACCAGACATATAGACATTACAACTCTAGCACTTGTCTTATAGACAAAACAACTCTAGCACTAGACTTATAGTCATCACAACTCTAGCATCAGACAAATTAACATCAGAACTCAATCACCAGACATATGGACATCACAACTCTAGCACCAGACATATAGACATCACAACCCTAGCATCAGACATATAGACAACACAACCCTAGCATCAGACATATAGACAACACAACCCTAGCATCAGACATATAGACATCACAACTCTAGCATCAGGCATATGGATATCACAACTCTAGTACTAAACATATCGATATCACAAGTCTAGCATCAGACATATACACATCACAACTCTAGCACCAGACTTATAGACATACTTACTCTACCACCAACAATATAGACATCACGACTGTAGCACCAGAATTATAACCGACTGTACCGTACTCTAGAATGGGGCGAATGAGTGATATGTATGCACTGCGTCTGCTAGATGGTGGGCAGCTCCGCAAGTTCCCACGTAGGAAGCCTAAGGTTGAGCTGGCTATTTTCGTGGTGTTATCTATGTGAATGCCCAACTTTAGATCCTCTGAGATGGTGACACCAAGGTAAGGGTTAGATGGAACCTGCTGGAGGATGGTGTTGCCCAGGCAATAGAAGTGTTTACTCTTACCCCGGATGCTGAGGATGTAGCATTTATTTGCATTAAACTTCATTCCCCAAGTTTTGGCCCACTGCTCCAAGTTTGATGGTCTTTTTGTGATCTGATTGTACGGTAAACACATTTTGTCCTCAAACCCAGTCAACAAATGTATACTATCTCAGCAGTTCAAAAGTTCATATTCAATTTCAGAATTTGAGACTAAAAAAATAAACTACCCAATAGACGTATCCATATGCATGTTTGATGTCGAAGAACCATTGTTCAAGACTATTCCCGTAACTTCATCTTGAAACAATATTTTGGGAAAATATAGAAATTAAAAAAAAAAGATAAGTGAGAAACCACCAACATCAAATATACTTTTAATCTTATGAATTCATATAAAGGAATGTGTTTCGGTGTTGTGTAGATTAACTGATTAGATGTTAAATGTAATGTACTGTTGGGTTCCAAACGGATGCCATTAGAATTTTCATTCCATTTCAAAACGAATTATCAATATTCACAAAAAATCGGCGGACAAAGCATTATTCCAAATTATCTTTTTGATGCTGACGGGGAAAATGTTGCCTATAAGTACATCGGCATCTCCCGCTGTGCAAACAACACGCGAGTGCTGTATAGGTAATTACAGGTCAGAGTTAGGGGCAGAGACCGACACGCTACCGCGAGCAAGTACATCTAGATCTAAGTCTGTTATTGGTATACTATGAACGGCGTTTTAGGAGCGTGTTCAATGAAACGGTTTGTGTGCGCTTGCGTTGAGTTTCCGTTGCGTGTAACGGAAGGACCAAACTGTTGCCCGAGGCCGAAGGCCGAAGGCAACAGTTTGGTCCGAGGGTTTAACATAACACATGTTGAATGAAGTCTACAAATGTTTTGTTATAACTTTTTCAAAATTTCTGACGTTTCCAATTTGGATTTACCTTGAAACAAATTCCGTGGTAATGCATTGTGCTTCGCTTCAATATACTCTGTTATTAATTTCTCTGCAACTCTGATCACATTCTTGGTGTTTGTACTGTCTCTGTTATTAAGAATTTCATCAATTTCTGCAGCAGTGTATTCCGAAAATCTGTCCATGATTGAACATAATGCAGCCGACATACATAAACATTGCAGACGGCCGGAAGCAGACGTGATCAATATTTCCTATAGGGATGCCACTATTGGTAATTGCTTAACAGCGGAAGTTGCCGAGTAATGGCCGGGAAGTATCGAATAGTAATGAGCTGTGACGTAAGCAGTCAACATTTCACTCAAAGCCAGTCAACATTTCGATGTTGACTGACCAACATTTTTCTGAGGCAAACATCTGGAATTTCGAACTTTTTTCACTATAGAAGAGTATAGAGAATAAAATGTAAAGGTATAACAATAGGTATTGTTGATATAATGCTGTAAATATAGCCATATTCACTATATCAATGAAAGTGATGGCGTTTCCCAGCCTAAAAAAAAAACCCATTTTCATCACTTTCCCATCTGAGGACCAACTTTTGAATACATTTGTTGATTCCGTGATGTAATGTGCAAAAGAAATCGTGACGGGAAACACCCTTTAATTGGCATAATAATCTTATTTATTATTTAAACAAGAACAAATGAAACCGAAATACAAAATATGTTATGGTTGTTGCGTCATAATAATAAAGGCCAAGCAAAAAAAATAAATAATCGCAAACCGACAGTCAAGTGTCACACATTTTTGTTGTGATCTTTCCCAGAGGTAGGAGATGTGATGCTGTGACCGCGTAATCCATAACGTCTATCGTCCGGTTCTCAAGGTGTGCTTAGATAATGGTAAAACTCATCGTTATCTCACTAATTAACATATAGGCCGTGATCACTTCTAGCTCAATTCAAATCTTTTATTCTGTAAGCCATTTCGGCTTATGTGACAAATTACATGTGTACAATACAGTTATTATATAACAATAACATACATAGCATTCATGCAATTGTACTTGTACATGTAATAAGGAGAGTAATACACGCCAGACATGTA